AACACAATTAAACACGAATTTTTTTTTAACGGTTTTAATAAAAAAAAAAAAAAAAAAACGTCGCATATATTATTCAAAAATATCAAAAAATGATTATAGTAAAAGAAATTTTGATTCTATACGTTCTATTATGGACAATTTCATTTGTAATAGCTTTACCTCAAAAACGGTCAATCCAAAAACGGTCAATCCAAAAACGAGCAATATTTAATACCGACATGTTTACTGCATTCTCACCTCAGCCAGCAACTACAGAGCCTACAGTTCGTACATATGATTTTCATTTACAACAGGTGTCTCTCGCACCAGATGGTATAAGTCGTAATGTCTGGACGGTAAATGGTGAATTGACAATGTAACAAAAATATAACTAAACCGATTTCAGATTTCAGGTATCTAACTAAAAAAATCAATATATTAACAAATTAGGTCAATACCCTGGGCCAATGATCCTAGCGAATGTAGGAGATCAGGTCATTTTCACTGTCATGAATAATTTAGGCGAACCAACGTCTATTCATTCACACGGAATTTTACAGAAAGATACTAACTGGTATGATGGGTAAGTCATTAAGGGCAAGCTTTTTTTTTTTCAAGTTTTTGTATCGTTCTAACCAAAAAAAAAAATTAAATAGTGTTCCTGGTGTGACACAGTGCCCAATACCTAATGGCGCTAATTTTACATACAATTTTACTGTTACTGAGCCTGGAACCTATTGGTATCATTCTCATTACATTGCGCAGGTACACGTGACTTATTATGTATATATATATATATGGGTAATTTTTTGAAGCCGGACCTAATTTTTTAATTTAATTCAAAGTATGTAGACGGGTTGTTTGGACCGTTTATTGTTCAGGATCCTTTAGATCCTTATTTAAGTTTATATGATTTTGAATATGTGGTTACCTTGAATGACTGGTATCATAACACTTCAAGTGTATTATTGGCTGAAAAAATGATTCCAACCTATAAAGGAATTAGCGTAAGTATTAATATCGATATTAGTAATTTTTATATATGTAATAAAAAAAATATACTGTATTATAACTTATTTATTGTACTCTACAGCCTGTTCCTGATTCTATCCTCATAAGTGGTCTTGGTCAATATAACTGTTCCGCAGCCAAAGGTGTACCATGCAACTCTTCAATGGCCATTCCAACTTACGTCGTACAAAGCGGTAAAAGATATCGTTTCCGTATAATAAACACAAGTGCCGACACTCCTTTCCTCTTTTCAATCGATAACCATGCATTCACACTTATTGAAGTTGATGGAGCAAAGTAAATATACTAGAATTGTAATTTTTTATAATAGATTTATTTAACTTTTTACTAACATAAAAAATTATCTTCATTAGCACTCAACCATCCACGATCCAATGGCTTCAAATTAATGTTGGACAACGTTATTCTGTAATAGTGAATGCTTCACAACCTGTGGGAAACTATTTTATTCGCACAAATCTTTTTAAGCTTTGTACGCTCACTGCGGGTAATACTACTCTAAATTTTGATTCCGCGATAAATTGGAATGTTACTGGAATATTAAGTTATAGTGGTGCTAATAATACGGCTCCAACTTCCACTAAATTCCCGGACACTATTAATACCTGTACCGATGTTCCGGACTCAAATTTAATACCACTAATTGCTAATGCTCCACCAACTAATATCTCCAGTTCTAATTCGTTCACATATCTTATTACTTTTGGTCCAGACCCAGTATCCCAAGTTGGTATATTTTTGGTTAACGGAAATAGTTTTCATCTAAATTTTACTAGTCCTACATTAATGCAATTGGATTCTGGTGTTAGTCCTCAAAGTTTCCCCTTAAATGATAGTGTATCTTCTTTTGATACCACCGCTGATAGTGGTGTTGAATTAGTAATTCTTAACAACATTACTGATCCTCACCCTTTCCATCTGGTATGCTTTTTTTTTTTTATCTGTTGTCTATGATATATATGATCTTATTATTAATTATAATTAATTATAATTTAATTAATTAATGTATATTTTATATAGCACGGTCATAAATTTTACATTATGGGCAGAGGTTCCGGTACGGCAGCAAACACAAGCGCCTATAATTTGGTTAATCCACCCTATCGTGATACCGCAACGTTACCAGCAAAAGGGTAAATAATTTTTTTATTATTTTTTTTTTCAACATATTCTCTTTTCATTTTTCTAACCCCTTATATCTTCACATTCTAATTCACATTAAAAAAAAAAAAAAAAGATGGATGACAATAAGATTCTTTGCTGATAATCCAGGTGTATGGTTATTACATTGTCATATTGAATGGCATGTTGAAATGGGTATGGTAATACAACTTGCAGAACGACTGACCGATTTAAAGAAATTAACTGTACCATCTAGTGTATTAAATTTATGCAAAGCATCATAAAAAAAAATAGTTATTTAAAAAATCATTATTTTATTTATTTATTTATTTATTCTATTCATAGATTAATACGTAGTTTTTTTTTTTTCAATTTCATGTACTTGTATTTTTACATTTGTTTGTATAACGTACATTATTTGTATTATTGTATACTATAACTTTTTTTTTTAATATTTAATTTAACAAAATTTTATGTCTATTGATATAATTTGTTTGTATAACGTACATTATTGTATTATTGTATACTATAACAACAATTTTTTTTTAAATGTTTAATTTAACAAAGTTAGTTCAATTTATTTGGTTTCATAACTCATAAAGGCAAAATTTTATGTCTATTGATAAAATAGATTGTAAATTTGCCACCATTGAGAAAATGCAAATTAGTCTAACAATTAAAGGGTTACAAAAAAACTTATATTACTAAATAAGTGTGGTGAATTTATACAGAAAATGAATTATATTATATCGATCTGTAAAAAAAAAAAAAAATTTAATTCCCGTCAATTTTTAAACACCGACTTTTTTATTTTATTTGGATTATATTATTTAATCAACCTGGATCAGTCCGATAAAGCTGAACTGTTGATGCTCCACGCTCCTAACTAAAAACTAAGCTCCCTTAACAGTTTGATTAGTATTAGATCTTGTATGCATTAAGTCATTTTAAGCTAATGTAATAACTCCAAGTATCTAGAGTAATAATTCAAAGTATCTGGAGTAATAACTCCAAGTAGAAGCAACTTCAATCACAACATATTTTGAAATTACAAACTTTTTGAAACGTACATTACATATACAGCTTATTAAACAGTAAACCTTATTTCAATATAAATTCATTTATCCAATTGGTCTATTTTATTCATACCATATTTGACTTTATTCTTATGCATTAAAAAAAATTTAGTTTTCTTCTATTACGGTAATTAATATAGAATATTTACAAAGGAGCATTTAATATTTAGAAATAATTATTTTTACTAATTTCTTCTAACAAGGTTATGCAGAAATCTATCCCCGTGTAACATTAAAATTAAATCAATCACTTTGACCTTATTAATACTAGCACTTAACACTAAAAAAAAAAAAATTTCGATAAAAATTTGACAACCAATAAGTGAGTGATCTTGATTTATTAGAGTACAAATATGCATCTGTTATTTTATAACTTAAACTATGATATAGTTAAAATAAATATATAATGATATATGTAACTTATGAATTCGTTTACAATAGCAGAAATATTAAAATGGGTTATGATAGTTCTGTAGTTGGAAAATAGGTTAGACATAATGTGTTAATATAGATTTAAAAAGGCGTTTTACTCGAGTTAATCACTGTTAAATCTTGTGCCTAGTTAATTAATTTTGGTAACCAAATATTTATATTTGGTGACCAAATATTAACTAAATTTCATAAACGCGCCGTAATGGAGTATTTTTTTTAGGATTTTGCAAAATACTATATAATTTTACAAGAAAAACTTTTTATTAATGCACAAAAAAGTAATTTTTTTTTTTTTCTTCGCATTATACTTGATATTGAAATTTGATTAATTAGTAAAAATTTTAAAGTGGTAATACTAGGAATTAGACTATACAAAAGTTAATATCTTAGTTTTTATACGTAATACGTATAAAATTTTAAATCACATTTAAATTTTATATTAAGAACACTAACATTCATATTCTCTATATATCGAATCATCTTCTAAAAATATCTTCTAAAAACAAAAGTACTAGTATTAAATCTAATCATTATAAAAAAAATTTATAATTTAACAGTTCAATTAAAATCCATTAAGTGTAAGTGTTTATTTATTCATGTTATGATGTTAGTTTGTTAAAACAGCTGTGAAGCCTTTAGCTGTTATTATTTAAAATTCGTGGTTAGTTAAAAATACTAGTAATATAATAATGCATCAATATCAAATAACACAGTTAGCAACTGGCCTTTATATTTCAATTTTAAAACTAATTTCGATAATACCTGATATATAAATACATACAGTACGTATATACTATCGCTATTTTAGAATTTATTTATAAATTAACATGCATCGAACAGAACCTAAACATTCTCTAATTATTTAAGATATAGAAACATACAAATTGTCTCCTTTATTAAAAAGAAGAGTTCTCATACCTCGTCACAAAGTAATATAAAAATTTGTATTTATATTTCCTTTATTCCAACTCTCACTTATACCTGGATTCCTGTTCTATCGATTATGAGATACTATGATGCTACAATTGTATTATGATTATTCCAAGCTACAACTGGTATTACTCCCCAAATCAGTTATACTACTATGTACAATTTTGACTATATTTATCATCTCATAACATACTATTATACAATCCAGACTCATTGCATTTGCGAGAACTTTATCTTATTATTCATAACAATAACAATGTCGATAACATGTCCCAGTGGGTTCAGACAAATAATTGGATGGATTTTGTGCATATCATTATATCCTTTATACAGAACGACGCCGAATGTTGCAGAATTGACCTTTAATAAATCGAAATAATTGCCCCAATTTGGTTGTTCTATATAGATGAACAAACTTCGCTAAACTCCACTGAATATATTAAAAAAAATTGATGATTACTAATCATTATCGAAGTTTATTTATTATATTGCCCACCTATTATATAGAACATCCCTAATGTAATTCGTCAGATTAAATTTAATGTCTTTATTCAAGGTCTAATTACGTCGAATAGCCTATATGTATGCTAATGAAGGGACTTTTTACATCACAAAAATCAATAACAAAACCAAATTTGCAATAAAAATTTTTTTGACAACAAGAATCCTAAAGTAAATCTATTTAAATAATAATGAACAACTTAATATTCAAAGTTGTAACCATTACTGGTGCAACTGGTCTTTTAGGCTACTATATAAACTAATACTTTTTTGAATTATGGTTCTTATAAGATTAAGATTCTTTGAAAGCCTGAATCTGAAAATAAGAATGCCAATTTATTAACTTCCAAAGGTTCTGAAGTTATTTATATAAACTACAATGATAAAAATAATCTTGTCAAAACTCTTAAAGAGATGAATATTATTGTTAACACTATAGGTAGTAACGAACTTGATATCACTCAATATATTCTTAAATTTGCTACTAAAGAAGCTAGTATAAAAATATTTATCATATCTGAATTTAGCAATTATATTAAAAAGACAAAGTATATTTTTATTGTTTATAATATCATTTATTATATCGTTTTTAAATTGATATAAAAATTGTTTTCTTCTTTTGACAATAAAGTGAAGTCTATTTACTTCACGTATCCAAGCTTGCTTTCCTTCAAAATTTAAATAAAATATATTATTATGGATACTGATTTATTCTATGAATATATAAATATATTTGGATTTGATCATAAAAATAAAAAAGCTATATTCTATACTAATAGTAATACAAAGATAATTATTACTATCTTGTCCAATATTAGCAAATATATTGTTGAGTCTCTTAAGTTGCCTAAAACTCATAATAGTACTATCAGAGTTGTTAGCTATATCTTAACACTAAACAAATTACTCAAAGAAGTTAGCTAGCTTTATTTTATTTTAAAAGTTTAAAGATTTTTTAAAATTTTAAAGATTTATTAAAATAGTTTACTACTTTTAAACAAAAATAAGTTAATAGTAAGAATATTTTTACTCTTTGCAAAAAAATATTACATAAAATAATTAATTCTAAACAAAATATAACTAGTAGTTAGGTCTAGTGACCTAGTATAGTGGTCAAGTTGTTAGACTACTATGTAATAGATCTGGAGTTCAAATCTTACTGTTGACAAATTTGAATAATACCTAGACCTATGTACTAAACTTACAGAAAACTCTGCTTGTTTCTGAAAAGAGAGTCCTGGAGGATGTAACAAAACTCTGTAAAAAATAGCATTACACCAAGTCAATTAGATATTAGGAGTATGATAGTAATATTATACGAATAAATCTGCATTAGATATATGAGTAGGGGACCTGCATAGTAGAAATCCTGAGTTGGTGAAGTAGTATAGCTTTTAATAGTTACACTAGCTAATACTTGATTCAAAAAGAAACTGTTTCAAAGGATGTAGATAAGAATAAGTATGAGTAAGTTCATATCCGTAGTAAAGATCAGTAGCACCAACTTGGCTTGGCAGCTAACTGGATTTAAGAGGATCTACTTTGTGAAACATCTAGAGGAATCGATTAATACACACTAGTGAAGAGTCATAGTAGGAACTAGGATTGTACAAATATCGCAAAGGTTTAAGCTAAGTAAATCTGTAAAATAGGTATAGACCATTCTAGTAGATATGCTTTTAAGATTAATTGGAGCTCTGCATACTCATAATATATTAGGCAATACATATTCTGAGAGGATCTAAGTTATGTAGTAAATATATCTATGAGCAAGTTAGCTAGTTTAAGTAATCAGATATAGTGATGATATTAATTTGGAATGAGAGAATAGATTAAAAATCAGAGTATTTAAATAGATAACCCACAGATAGATTGCAGGTATAGCAGCATAGTGTAGAACTAACAGATAGTCAATTGTCTGTATAGTGAACTACTTAAATTAGACAATAACTAAAGTTGTATGTGTAGCTTATTATATACTCATCATATAACTATTAAACCTTAAAAGATTATCCTTGTGATAGCTCTGTAATAACAAATTAATAAAATCTAATCAGCAAAGAAAGCTACCTTAATAAAAAAAAATATATATATAACTAGTAGTTTTTATATTATTACTTTTTAAAAAAAGAACTGCTATTCACACTATAGAAAATTACTATTCACACTATGAATATGCATAATATTAATTAATTCTTTTATATCACAATTCTGTAAATCCTGTATAATCTAATAACTAGAGATGCAAACATTTGTTAAATCAACTAAAATATTGGAGATTCAAAAAATTCTGATATAATTTTTGATAATTAGAAAGTTTTTATTACAATTTCTAAATTTGTTAAGATTAATATAACAATAGACTTAATATATATCTCTGACTCAAGATTCTAAATTCTGTTTAATAAAAAGATCATCAGAAAAAAATCAGAATATGTTATGCTACAATTTTGTACACTAGTTAAGGGTAGCTACTTAGTTATAGCTATAATATATATTATTTCATGTTCTAATATCTGCATCTTTACTAATAACTAATGAAATTTTGAATTTTTTTTACTTTTCTTATCTTTACTGTTTGTAATTACATGAAGAGTATACAATAAGCTACACATACAACTTTAGTCATTGTTTATTTTAAGTAGTTTACTTCATAAACATTAGACTACCTGATTGGTTCTATACTATGCTATTATATCTGTAACCTACTTGTGAATTATCTATTTAAATACTCTGTTTATTAACCTATACAGATTCAACCTAATATTACCGCAATATCTAACTGCTTAAGCCAGCTAGCTTATTACAAATCTATTTATTCAGAATAGCTTAGATCCTCTTGAGATACATTATATCAGATATATTGCTAGTATTGCAAAGCCAGTTTATCTTGAAGTAAACCTACTAAAGCAATCTGTATTTATTTTATGAATTCATCTAGCATAAACCTTTGTAGATATTTGTATAACTCCAGATTCTACTATAGTCTTCTACTGGTTAGTTGATCTAGTCTTTTTCTAGTATCTAGCTAGTCCTAGTTACCCTTTGTCTAGAGACTTTGAAACTTTCTACTTTTATTAGACTGAGTTTTCTTCTTAAATCAGACTTTAGCTAATATAGTTCTGTTAGAAGACTATATTACTTTACTAACTTGGAATTTCTACTATGCAGATCCTCTGCTCATATATTCTATCAAGATTTATTCATATAATATTATATTACACTTCCAAGTTCTGATCGATTTAGTATAACTTAATTTACAGAGATATACTCAGAAATAAACAAGGTTTACTATAATATATTACAAGGTCTAAGAAATTATTCAAATTCATTAATAGTAAAATTTAAACTCTAGACTTATTGCATAGTAGTTCGACAACCTAACTACTATACTAGATCACTAGACTTTTAGCAAAATTTTTTTTAATATTATTAATAACAAAATTTTTTAAAAAAAATTTTTTTAACTACTATTTTTTGTAAGTTTTTTTTTTTTTTGTTATTAAGGCTACTTCCTTGGCCGATTGGATTTTATTAGTTTGTTATTACAGAACTATCACATGAACAGTCTCCTAAAGTTTTATAGTTACATAATGAGTATATAACAAGCTACATGTACAACTTTAGTCATTGTTCAATTTAAGTAATCTGCCATATAGATGATCAACTATCTGTTGGTTCTATACTATGCTGCTATACCTGCAACCCGCCTGTGAGTTACCTATTTAAATACTTTAATCATTAATCCTTCCTCCATCCCAAACTAACATCACTACTATGACCAACCATTTAAGCTAGCTAGTTCACCTGTAAATCTATTCTCTGCATAGCTTAGGTTCTCTTAAAATGTGTATACTTAATATATTGTGAGCTGCAGAGCTCCAGTTAACCTCAGAAGTAATTTCTACTAGAGTAGTTATGTGCTTATTTCACAGATTCACTTGGATTAGACCCTTGTCGATGTTTATACAAACTCAGTTCCTGCTATAGCTATTTACTAAATATAGTTCTTCAAGTTCTAGCCAGATGTTTCACAAAGTAGATCCTCTCAATCTAGTTAGCTACTAAGCCAAGTTGGTGTTGCTACTAATACAAGGCACCAGGTTGCATTACACAGCAGACTTACTTGTACCTATTAATCTCATATCCTTCGTACTCAGGTTTTTTACTGGATTAGGCATTAATCGGCTTGACTGTTGAAATTTGTACTACTTTACCAAACTCAGGATTTCTACTATACAGGTCCTCTGCTCATAGATCCTATCAAGATTTATTCACATAATATAACTCGAGTATTGTGTCATATTTCCAATGTCTAATTGATATTAGTGCAATGTGATTTACAGGGTTGTAACCCTAGAAACAGGCAGAGTTTACTGTAAGTTAGGTACAAAGGTTTAAATAATTATTCAAATTCATTGATAGTGGGATTTGAACTTCAGACTTCTTGTATGGCAGTCTAGCAATCTAACTACTATACTAAGATTGCCAGATCTATTTTTTGTAAGTTTTAATGTACTATATATAATATATTATTAATATTAATTTATTTAATTATAAAGATTTATAAGCTGTAAGTTAAAAATTATTACCTTTTTAGTATTTTATATATAGTCTTTAATTTTTAACTATAGTCTAAAAAATTTTTTTACTAAATAAATTCTATTTAAATTTATAGCAGTTATTAAAAACAAACTTTTAATTATTAATTTATAAAATTTATTAAGATTAAGTTAATATATTAAAAATAATATAAGTTTAAATTTTTAAAAAATTAAACTTATTTTTTAATATAAAATTTACTAGTAAAATTTACTAATAAAAAGTCTAAAAAAAGCTAATTTTCAAAGAATTTTATAAAATTTAAAAAAGTATTTAGAGTTACTAAATTTTTTATATATATTGCCCTTATCTATAAGATACTTTATATAAATATTTAATAGCTTATTAATTTGTTAAATTTGTAGATAATTAGCTTTAAGTAGTATCACAATTGAGTACAAAATACTACTAGTAGTACATCTAAATTCTATCTATTAATAATTGTAACTATATAGTAAAGTCAAAATCTTTATAAGTAAATTGATATTAATATCTTAATTAAAGTTATTTATAAAAACAAAATATATATAATATTAAATTTTAGTATAATTTAAATAAATACTTACTAATTGATTTTTGTACTTTATATTTGTATAAACAAAAATTAATTTTTGTTTACAAAAGCATAAAGTATAAAGTCAATTAGTGAGGTCTGGTAATCTTAGTGTAATGATTAGGTTGCCAGACCACCATGCAAGAGGTCTGGGGTTCAAATCCCACTGTCGATAAATTTGAATAATTACCCAAACCTTTGTACCTAACTTATAGTAAACTCTGCTCATTTCTGAGAGTTACAATCCTGTAAATTATGTTGCATCAATGTCAATCAGACATTGGAAGTGTGATGCAATGCTCAAGTTATATTTTACAAATAGATCTTGATAGGATCTATAGGCAGGGGACCTGCATAGTAGAAATCCTGAGTTTGGTGAAGTAGTATGGATTTTGATAGTCAAGCCAGTTAATGCCTAATAAAGTGAAAAACCTGAGTATGAAGGATATGAGATCGATAGGTGCAAGTAAGTCCGCTGTGTAATGCAGCCTGGTGCCTTGTATTAGCAGCAACACCAACTTGGCTTGGCAGCTAACTAGATTGGGAGGATCTACCTCGTAAAACATCTGGCTAGAACTTGAAGAACTATATCTGGTAGACAGCTACAGCAGGAACTAGATTTGTACGAACATTGACAAGGGTCTAATTCAGGTGAATCTGTAAAATGGGCACATGACTACTCTAGTAGGAATTACTTCCGAAGTTAACTAGAGCTCTGTGGCTCACAATATATTGGACATATGCATCCCGAGAAGACCTAAGCTATGCAGAGAAATGGATCCGCAGATGAACTAGCTGGCGTCAGCAGTTGGTCATAGTGGTGACATTAGTTTGGGATGGAGGAAGAGTTAATGATCAGAGTGTTTAAATAGGTAACTCACAAGCAAGTTGCAGGTATAGCAGAATAGTATAGAACCAACAGATAGTCAATCGTCTGTATGGCAGACTACTTAAATTAGACAATGACTAAAGTTGTACGTGTGACTTGTTGTACACTCATCATATAACTGTAAACCTTAGGAAACTATTCATGTGATAGTTCTGTAATAACAAACTAATAAAAATTTAATCAGCCAAGGAAGTGGCCTTAATAACAAAAAAAAAATAAAGTCAATTAGTAAAAAGTTATTTAAATTATACTAAAATTTAATATTATATATATTTTGTTCTTATAAATAGTTTTAATTAAGATATCAATCTTATGACTGCTGAATTAAAAAAAAAAAAATTAAGATATCAATACAGTAATATGCAACCTTTTCTGATGATCCTTTTTCTCAAAAAACCAAAAAACCAAAAAACCAAATTTTGTTAGAGAATGATGAAGAAGACCCTTTTACAACAATAGTTTTTACAAAGGTCAACTAGGGTTCTACTTCTCTCTAAAGACTCCTTTGTATATTCAGCATGCAAGCTAAAAATAATATTATATAAGATAACTAGCAGGAGGTAGAGCCCTTATATAAAAAATTTTGATAAAGAACTTTTAGGACAAAGCTCTTTGTTGACAAAGTTAGTAAAAGAAGGCTTAAGAAGCAGAGGAACAACTAAATATTTTGTCTACATACTCTTTAAAGTTTTAGAAAACAACTATATACTATAAGTTTTTTCTTGCTAGCCTTCTATCTATATTGACAAAAGTAGGGAATTTAGGTTCCCTCCTACAAAGATTAGCATTGTTTATTATATCTATTTTTAGATGTACTCCATTAGGTGTATGACTATAGGAATAAACAAAACAGAAAACAAACATATAGAAACACATGTTTTGCTTTGCTTGTTTTGTTAAAACTAGTTCTACAGATATATAAGAAGGTGTAAACAGCAATTGATATACTATTATAAAGCAATAAGAATAGTTATAATATTAGAGAGAGAATAATTTGAGATAGGTTATAAGTCTGCTGACTTAATATTTTTAAATCTAGTTTAGGTTAAAAAGTATTTTGTTTTCTTTTTTTTATTTCTTTTTTCTTTTATATAGTCCTTTCTATTATATTACTACCTAACAAAGTTTTTAACTATGGTTTATATGCTGAGAATATGTAATAATCTGAAATAGCTAAAGTACTAAGCTGGTAGTAGCAATATAACAAAGTACACAAGGGCATATCAACATTAAACACTAACTTCTTCTGAAGAAAGCTGGAAGTAGTACTATATATTACAAATCTAGTTAAGAGTAATCTTTGGATTACGAAATATAGCATGTACTTATCAACATATAGGAGTTCTTAAAAGGTATATAAACATAGCATATAAATACAACTTAATGTAATATAAGTGCTTTTATGTCTCAGCATTGTGTAAATGCTG